GTCTCCATCCTGGAAGACGTACGGATCCAACAGCGGATAGACACGACGTCAGCGATTTCATGTGCTGCCGCCAAGTGGAAAGCTGACCACCACACGGTCGCCTCCAGCCAGGTCCTTGACGAGCGAATAGAGCGCGACGCGGTAGACGCTCAGATGCCATGCGTAGGACATGATCGAGCCATCTTAACTGGCGCAACAAAACCAGTTTGTTGAAGGAAATACTTGCATTCCCTAAGATGCGACGTCGAACGTCATTACTATTAACTCGATGTTGCCACCAAACACGGGCGATCCTCCTTAAGCAACCGTTATCGAAGGCAGAAAGACGACGCATGTCTTCTACGCGCATTGGCCAGGACTCGCGCCCATACAACAATACTCAGCGAACTGATGCGCTGTAAACGCGGCTCTTTAGTGAGAATGAGGCGTCACGACGATGCCACAAGTGCCTCATATTCGCAAATGCTGATCGAGCTTTAGCGATACGAAGAGAAACTTCTTTGTTGATAGTGCCGTCAGCAAAATGCAGCTCCCGAAGTAGACGAAACTATCTACCTGTTCAAGTTGTGCACCTTCGAGAGTGAGCACAGGAGCAGGTGAAGGCCAATCCTTGAGCAGTACTTTACACTTCGATGGGGCGAAGCTCATGCCATATTTGGATGCATCAACCGCTAAAAGATCCAGAATGAGTTGCATACCCTGAGGATCGTCACCAAGTAAGGCGATGTCATCAGCATAATCTAAGTCAGTCGCGCGCTCACCCGGTAAAAGCTCTAAGCCAAAAGGTTGGAAACCTTCTAGAGCATTCGACAGAACCTCTTCGATTGCGAAGTTGAAGAGGGATGGGGACATAGGGCAGCCCTGTCGCACACCGCTATTGACGGCGAATTGCGAGGAAAGCTTGCCATAGACCCTCACTCTGCCGCATGTATGAAAATAAAGTGCTCGTAAGATGGCGGTATATTTCTCTGGTACCCCCTTCTTTAGCAAGCAACGCCATAAAACAGGTCGATCAACGGAGTCAAAAGCGGCGCGTATGTCTAGGAATGCAATGATAGTGGGCCTGTGATAAATGTGGCGATGTTCAAGGAGTTGGCGGAGCGTGAAGATTTGATCCACGCATCCACGGCCAGGACGGAAACCAGCTTGTTCTGCACGATAGTATGATTCACGTACTGGGGATAGCCTGCGAAGCAGAATGGATGCCAATAGCTTAGAGGCAACCGAAATAAGACTAATCCCGCGATGATTTGCACATGAAGTGGGAGCGCCTTTCTTGAAAATCGGGACAATAACTGATTCGCCCCAAGTGGAAGGCACTTTTTCTTCATGCCAAATTTTTGCGAACAGCGCGGTTAGCTGGTTAATGATCGCCACACCGCCGTACTTGAATAGCTCCGGAGGGTATATATATATATATATATATATATATATATATATATATATATATATATATCCAGATATATATATATATACACATATATATATACACATATATATATATATGTTCGGCCCAATTGTACGATTGTGAAACCTGGCCTACCAGATCGGTAGACATTAAGAGGCTACCTACGTTCGAGCACCGGTGCCTTCGCAGTCTGGCTCACATTTGTTGGGAACACCGAGTGAGCGATGAGCGTGTTCGACCCTTTGTTTATGAGCTAGTGAAGCGCTCAGCCTCATTATGTTACGCACCAGGTTCCGATGGAGGGGTCACGTGTTGCTCATGCCAGCCCACCGACTCTCGCGAGGTGCTGTTTTCGCGCCGTGTGTCATTGGAGGAGAAGTGGCCAAGGGTTGACTTGGTTAAGAGAAATGAAGGCCCTTAGGGCGAAGTTGGCCTAGGTTGGAGCTTCGCGGCTCAGTGATTGAGATTCGAAAGACGATAAACACGTTTGGAAGGATACATTTGGTACATCATCTCAAAGTGCAGTTGTTAGTTAAGATTTTCCAGAACAGTTCAAAATCAGATGTATGGGGAGTTCCATTAATAGAAATGACAAAGGGGAGAGTTTAAAAGTAGGATGAAAGTGCTTATTGAAAAAAAGCAAAATAGGATTAATACGGCTATTCGTGATGATAATGATAGCATGTTCGGAACATGAGCATAATTTCGAGTGTTATCGGCGCCCTAGTGGCACAAAGCTCCGCTCAAGTACATTAGAGTTGACATGGGATAGCATCGTACAGATTTCGTCAACTAACACAATCAATAGAAAACAATTGTATTACTCGCGAGTAGCAGGATTTTAGTTGTAATTTTGTTAAGGCTTTCATCCCAGTAGGGGACAGAGGAAATGCGCACCACTAAAGAGCCTCAATAGGGCGAAATGCGTCTGGTGCTTTTCCGAACTAGGATTGGGTGGGATATAAGCAGATCAGCGGTGGCTTTTGAGACTACGCATTAGCCTACTCATCCACCATTCAAATCCAAGAATTAAGTTTGGAGAATAAATTGTGCAGCGGAAGTACAAAAAGATTTAGTTAAGTTGAAGTGACTTTTCAGAAAATGAGGAAATCACAATATTATAAGGGTGGAGTGATTTTATGCCCCGGTGGCGGAGACATGTATTGTGTAGTTGTTGCGATAGTGTCGACTAGTTCCCTCAAGGATACCACAAAATGGTTCTCAGTGAACGTGAAAAACGCACATCTATACTGGCGTAGCCGGAAAGCGCACACTCAAACAAGTTAGAATATTTGCTGCAAACGTCCAAAGTGTTTCTTTGCGAACACTGTACCCATCGGGTATTGGAAGATGGCTAATGCCCACTATGTATCGAAAAGCAAGCAGTAGTACTGGGTTATTTCAAAATGACTGCGCATTGTCAGCAGCTTATGTGGACCATCTGCTAAAGTTCAGCACACACAACTGGCCAATCACGGAGCGGCTGTTGAGTTGACGCCATATAATGCTATACCAGTACTCCAGCAAAGAACTCGTACGATGACGACGAAATGGCAGTGTTCTTATAAACGGTTAGAGCCGCAAGCGACACTACGGTGCTAACCGGTGGCGTACGAAGACCACATTCATACCGCATACACAGTCGGGTATTTGTCAATGGTGAGAGAAGTTGCATGTGAAACTAACTCAGTTCAGTTCACAGTTGATGCCAGTGTCGAAGCGTGACAGATTTCGCTGACGTGACCTGCGTCGTTATTACCACAAAGATCAACAACAATGGGGGGAATAAACAAAACATAAATAACAGCAGATTTGGCTGCCATAACCAGTTAGAAAACACACCGAATCAAGATGAAGCACTGCTAAAAAGACAGCCAACTAAGCCTGGCGAAAATGGTTGGATTGATTTTTTGCACACAAACTATCAACTTATCAGCCCGGACAGTAAGGTTTGCTGATGATTTTCCACTGTACTGTGACACCACCGGCCAAATGAGGTCCACGTGTCGCCTACAAGAAAGTGAGAGGTATCAACAGCACACCGGTACACCGTAAGAAGCCTTCGCTACTATGCGACCGCCACCAGTTGCGTGAGGCCAAAAGCCCCATCGCTCACGATTTCCATACAAATAGGTGCTGAGACATCGTTTCGTTGGTTTTGTAGCGAGCCCAATGCCACCAGATTTCGTAGTGGCTCAGTTGTTGAGATCTGGGAACCAAGACCTCTTTAGTTGGGACCATACTGGAAATGCATTTAATGAGGCGCTGGGACAGTCCGTCATATATTCCATACACAGATACACGTTCGATGTGAGGCCGTAGAACGCATCAACTGACCTTTCTTGTGCCGCATGTAAAACAAGCGTGGTCACTCCATAGACAGATTGAGAAGCATCTCCGGGGTTTCAGTGGGACAATGAAATAATATGCTTAAATGTGTAATTATGGTCAATGCACCTTGGCATAAGCCGGTGAAGTCGAAAAAGTGAGGAAAAAGAAAAAGATGACAGAAACAGACAAACGAGTGTGGGATCAAATAAAAATATATGTAAAAAAATAAGGACCTTGATTTCAGGACCGCAGTGCACCTGATACGGTTTCCAAGCCCAAAGGTGATCGATCCCAAGATAGCGTATTAAGAAAGGACAACATGTGTACACAAACAAAAAGAAAGCCGAAGCGGTTGTGTGACTGGAAGTGTTCAGCTGCAAGGAGTGGATGTCGAGCAAATGCGAATACTCCCTGATGTTCTCAGAATGCGAGTCCATGGCTCAAATAAAGCTAAATGACAGGATAGTTCTAGCAAACGATCTTTTCAATTTGACGGCGTCTTAGCGGAACGTCCACAAGATATATGTAGGCTTGACTACCAACCGGACCAGCCGCATAACAGCGGGAAATTTCCCGGTGGCACACTCCATTAATCCTCCACGTTCATTCTTGGCTTCAGTTATCACGAAAACTCGTTCTGCTAGGAAGTCAATCACGGCGTACATATTGAGAATGTTTCGGAGATAATGTCGTGTGGCTATGCTGATTGCGGAACGTGAGGTTAATGGAATACGAACACGGCACGTGTGATACTCCTTAAGTGGCGTACAATACTGGTGGTTGATGACTACGTTCGACCCTGTCCGACCATCAAGCTACTGGCAGTAATGCTCATGTCAACTTTGTTAATTGGACGACAGGTTGTAGATTGGGAAACTTGTTCAGCTCAGTTGACGGGCAAGGCTGCGTATTAAAAATGAATAATATAACTGTACTCAGGTAATCTAATGCAATTTAAAGTCAGTAGCATTTTTGCGCTCGCCTTGAGCTCGAAGCAGCTGGTTAACGCCTGAGTATTCACAAGTGCTAATTGTCTACCACCTCAGGTGCAAGCACGTCTTGCTCGTGGGGTAGATAAAAAGTACGTAAATGCTGTTATCTTAGCGAAACTGAGAAGTGATCCCCCTCGATCAAGCAACCGGTGATTTATTCCGTCAGTAACGTGTTATGTTTATCGCAGTGAGAAATAAGGCAAATAAAATCAGTGAACACACAGTATTACAGTCGAGTTGGTTAGGAAAGCGTGTGTCATATTGCTTACCCCTTCAAGTTCGCTTTTGGAGAACCACTGTTTGTCGTTTGAGGATGTCTCCAGGTTGGCAGAACCATTCATAAGCTTATTTTCGCCAGATGACTTCACCGTGCGTCCGCAAGTACAAGCTGATGCAGATGACTTGTTTTGGTGAAAATTGCATGAGCACTTAGATTTAGAACCTCGAAAATGCTTTGTGATTGAAAAAAGGAGCATAAACCGGACTTACTAATGGAAAATTAAAAGATTTTGGTCGATGACGGAAAAATTTGTACAACAAAGTGAAACACAGGGCCAGCAGGAAAAATACAGCGGGCACGGTGATAAGCAAAGTCAGGTTTGAGTCCCCTTGACCACCAGATGAGGATGCATTTTCCTTAATTGGAAGCGATTTGGCGGTGGTGAACTTTTGAATTTCAGTACTCTGAACACTGTAATCTGCGGCAAAAAAGCGAGAAAGTTGATGGAGATAAAAAATAAAAACTAAGGAACGATATAATACAGATCTCAGCAAACTGACATGATCGGACCATACGATTTGTTTGTCAGGTAAAAACGCGGAGGCGACCATAGACAAGTAACTACTTAATAAATTGACAACCTCAGTGACGACGTTCAGCATAGAAAGTCAACGGAGAAAACAAACGCTCCGCATAAACAAAGCGTTGTCACAAACACAGAACGGTGGTGATCAAGTTCAAACTAGTTCAGTTTGTCAGTAAGGCGTAGTATGAAAAAAGGCAGAGTGGGTGAATCGATTTGGCTCACAATGTCACGGTAGTTAGAATATAGTTCGATCAAGAGAGACATGGAAATAAAAACCTAAAGCTACGAATTTCGTAGGGTCGTTGAACAGAAGAGACAGTTATAGGGTTAAGAGACCGCTAAAAACCTCTCGAATGGGTCAGGTTGGAGGGGGTTACAAAGCAACAATGTGGTCGATCTAGCGGGCTAAAAGCTGTAGAGAGTCTACCAGCGTTACTTATGTGAGCAAGAAAGCTCCGAAAAAGGGCAGAAATGTAGCTCGTATTAAACAACGACCACTCTGATGGGAGACCCGAAATGAATGAGTATGCAATACACTTGGGTTAAGGTTAGATTTTGGACCCATGAGTGCCATACAATGTGCAGCGCCGTGGGGTTGAGAAAATGCGCTTGAATAATTAAACAAATGGGTGTGTATTTCAAGACAAGCGTGACGCGTTGCCTTGGTGTCAAAGATTGTAGTCCGTGTATCATCGGTGACATAAAACAAAGAAATCGATGCCGAAAGCCCAAACAAAACTACGATTTCCAGGAGAAGTTGTAGTTAAAGACTGAGTTATCAAATTCAATATGGGACGGCTTCACTCAAGGGTAGAGAGCAGCGAATGATAGCTGTATATACATTTGCCTGTTAATCAAGGAGGGAATGCAAAATGTGGTTAAAAACCTCCTGATCGGGCTCCTGAGGTAGTTGATAACTGCTCACGGACTGTTCCCCGAGTTCAAAAGTTTATCGAGCTTAAGCTGAACCGATTAACCCCACATTCCTTCTCCGACAGCTGATCGAAATGATCATGAATGATTCGACCCAATCTTTATCGTTGATTGGAGTACAGGGTATACGAAGGGACCGGCTAGTAAACCTAGAGTAGGGAGACAATGTAGTCCATGGATGCCGAACCAAGCTCCTGTATTTGTGTCCCTGGACACATTGGCACAGAACAGTACTGAAGGCATCGGTAATGCTTGGTACACTAAGAGCGAAAGTAACAAAAAGAAGACCAAAGTGGTTGATTGGTTCAGTTATCTAGTTAGTGATCAATCGTCGATGGTCAGACCAGCGAAGTGACTACTGTGTACACAGGTATAGCCTACGGGGATTTCCAGTGGTTCAACTATCTATGAACACTGTACCAACTGGATTATCAGTCAATGAGAGAGTGCACAACGCAATTAGTCGAACGTTAACATATGTACCAGAGACGTAATGTGTGTAGTAAGAACACAAAGCGTTTGGCCGTGTTCGACCAATTATCGCTCATATCTAGTTGTACTGAGGAAATCCAACTGAGAAACGCGTTGATGATTGGTAGACACCTATGCCAAACTTACTTGTCTGTTAACCTTGCATAGCCTATATTTACTAGGTCACATTCTCTGAAAATCTATTCACCGTCCGCTGTCCCAATTTGTTGGCTGAATGATATAGTAAAGTGATGGCAATGGACAGAAAAGCTGAATCGGATTGGTAGGGATTGAATTCTTTGATGAGAGCTTTGATTACGTCATACCTATTGCAAAAGAAACCATGGTTGTGTCGAAGTCATGGAGCCAGCGATGCTCTTGCTTTCGCTTCGCTGCCTTTGGCCCTTAGCTCCTCCAGCCTCCCAAATTTTCATTCCTTCCTTTGTATTTTCCCCGTAATCTGGTATCATTACTTTAATAATGACGCGAATCAGTAGCTCTCATACTACGGTGATCGTATACCAGTAAATTAAACGAAGAACACTGAAGTAAGACTTACGTTGAGGCGTTTGAAAATAAAGGAGACAGGAGTTGTGCCACCATATGTTTCGCGGAACGTCTACTGAATTTCCGCACTAATTAACATAAAACCGATAGCTGTCAGTGCACGGGATGAGATATCGGGAATAGATTAGCTGCGCCACCACTGCCACCCAAAAATGATGGAGGTAGTCGTAAATAGGTATCTTCCTATTCATCGGAAGAATATTACTTAGTTCAACACCGATCCAGCCGATAGAGCAGGGTCTCAGAAGAGTTCAGGTGAAACAGTAGGTCACAGATATATATGGTTGGCGGCATCCGGTTTCGGCTTTGCCTGTCACTGTGGCAAACCACAGGACGCCTGCCCCTACAGAGGGAGCATGGGTGGCTTGCGCTGCACCACCCACACACACCCCATATCCAGTGTAAACACGAAGGAATAAGACCGGGAGGCATGTGGATGGGAGCCACGTTTCATCAACGGAGCCGATCCACAGTGCTTCAAAGGCGAACACAAGCATGCTGTATTTGTGGAATCAAGTGCACACAAAGCGGTGGATAGACCGTAGTCCGCTACACACTGAGTGCATGGAACCACTCTTCGATCCTATCACGGCCACAAGGATCGTGCACCCCGTCCCCTCCAGCAACGACCAACTGTCTCCTGGAGCCAGTATGGACGAGGTAGTGAGTAATTGACAGGTAGGCACCTTGTCAATATGCGCATCACGCAACAGCCACACTGAGGAAATCAAGCAACAGCCAACCACTTGAGACAACGAGATCGAATAAAATATATCGAACAATGCGTACAGATACGGTGACATAACTCCTCACTAAATGAGCGTATGAAATAAATTGGTTGCAAAAAATCCGCGAAAGGTTCAATACGTCAGAAAATATATCTTAAGAAAATGCCACAACCGCGAAAACGTTATCGAAGTGAACTACAATTAACTTAAGCGACGTAAGCAAGTTTATAGAAAATAGACAGGTAGACATTAATATGAGATTTAAAAAAGCATTAGGACAATATAGCAAACCCACCAACTGAAATAAAGCACGCAAGCATACAGTTAGTAAATCTAACGCAACAACAACCACAACAGCAGCAGCAGCACACCAACCATTTGAACTGATGCTTCGCTGCCATACAACCATGAGGACATATGAAATAAAGAATAAGAGGGAGAGAAGGGGGACATACCTGAAAACATTGATTCCCTAGGCAAAGATTCAGGGTCAAGGCGCCTACACCGTGTGTAGACAACATACCGTCACAAAACTGCTGGCTATCGTGCAAAGATAAGGCGGCATCGGCGAGACAGATTCCTTGCGGCTTTCACTGCCACGCGTCATAATCAGCCATTACCCCGCAGATAACTCAGCACACAACACATTTTAAATAGGCAATCCAATTAGGAGACGGCAACAGACGCGCCACTGGTGTCTACTGCGAGCCATGTCCTGCAAAATCTCAAGCCAAGCACAAGGCGAGTCACCTGGACTCCAGCCCGGAAGGCGAGACGGACCAACGGCACCCAGTTTGGTCGCCAGCAGCTTTAATTCCAGCTGTCACGTCAACTTTTGTCCACCTCGAGCTTTACGCCACCCTACACCTGGTAGACTGAACAACGCCCTCCTAGGTAAGCGGTGAACAGGCATACGTAGCACGTGCCCAAGCCGACGCAACTTATCCAGTGCTATCTGTTGTTCTAGGGAGCTAGCATGTTTATCACCACCTAGTACTCGCCGTCGCACAGGATGGTTGCGGATACGCTGGTGCTATCCGACACCAGCAATGCCTCGCAGACAACAATGACCAAACACATGAAAGCGCCTCAGATCTTCAGAACGCACGGGCCAAGTCTCACTACCATACGGCAGAACGGCCCTCACTGTGGCCTTGTATACACGGCCTTTCAGACGGATGGAAATTCCCTCCTGTCGCCAAAGATGCCGCAGGTTCAAGAAGGCAGCTCTGGCCTTTGCAATGCGTGAGCTGAAGTCAGTCACTTTGCAAACATCGTTGTTGATCCAGCTGCCAAGATAAATGAAATTATCAGCCATCTCGAGTTCCTCGTTAGCAAGCGTCAAGGGGTCATCAAGTGGCTGGTGGTTCTGCAGCAACACTTTGCACTTTGAAGGTGCAAAGCGCATACCGAATAATAGGACCACACTAAATATGCTATACAGGATTGATTGTGCCACCACAGAATCGTCCGTATAATCAAGATCAACTAATCTTTCACCAGGCAGCACTTCAAAGCCTGCATCGTCAGATCCCGCAGGGGAACATTCCATGATAGAATCCACGACGAAAATGAACAAAAATGGGGAAATCGGACAATCCTGACGAACGCCACTTGCGGTCGGAAAGCTATCCGGTAGGCCACGATAGACCCTGACGTGGCCTGTAGTGTTTGAGTATAGAGCAGGAAGAATGCTCACATATTTCGGGGGAACACCTTTCCGCGCAAATATTTCGAACAGAATGCATCGATCGACTGAATCGAACGCACTCTTGAAATCGAGGAACACAGCTATTGTCGGTCTGCGGTATGCGCGGCGCTGCTCTAGCACCTGCCGCAAAATGAGTATTTGGTCTATACAGTCACGTCCTGGGCGGAAACCGGCCTGCTCTTCCCTGATCCGAGATTCCCGTTCCACAGTGAGGCGACAAAAGAGAATCGAGGCCAGTAACTTTGTCACAACTGGCGTTAGGCTAATACCCCTGTGGTTAGGACAGTCTGTGCGACTGCCCTTCTTGTATATTGCCATTATAATCGATTCATTCCAATCAGCCGGGACACTGTCTTCCTTCCAGATACATTCGAGCAGAGAGGTCAGTGCTTTGCAGAGAACCTCACCTTCATCCTTAAATAGTGCAGGTGGGGGGGGGGGGAATCCGGCCCAGCGGCACAAAAACGACTAGGGGCTGTGAT